AAATAATTCGGTAACTTCTAAACGGTTAATCCGATTTTAATGAAATTTGGTATGCACAAAGAGGAGGTGTTGTCGAGTTTAGGTTTTGAATTTGGACCTTATAGGCCAACCAGGGGCCCGGCGGGGGGTCCTCAAATTAGGACACCTCGGCTATGTTAAATTTTTAAAACGATCCTATTTCTTCATTTGAGTTCCGATTTAAAAAAAATTTCGTATATAGAATCTCCTCATCGAGCACTATAAAAAATGTCGTCGTAGCAGTAAATTATCTCTTATAGTTTAGGAGATATTCGCATTTGAATATTAAAATTTTAAAATTTTTACCGTCCTTACTTTAGTTTTTTTGATAATAGCAGGTCCAAATATTTCCGATTTTCGCCATTTTTTTTTATTTGCTTAACAACAAGTTTATATACCAAGCAGTGAAAGAATTATGTAAAAATCATGACTGAGTCCAAAGTTATAGGCATTTAAATTTAAAAAATTAAAAAAAGGCGATTTTTTGACATTTTTTTGGGAAAAAAGTATCTTTTTCTTTTTAAGTTATCTAAAAAGTTTCTAAGAAGATGTATATAGAATTTATACTTTTTGGAAAGCTGACTTTACATAAAATACGATAAATGAAACAAAACCTAAAAATTTTTGATACCGAGGGGACCAGGTCCATCCAAAAAAACCCTATTTTTTATGGAAAATTAAATTTTGAGCAAAAATTCTCAAATCGCATAGTCGATATCAAATTATAGTGACCTGTTTTATATGACCCAATAAGTTCTTAATCATTTTGTAACGGGTTTCGATAACCCCGCCCCTGGTATGGATATAATAGGCAAAAAACCAAAAAATCCCATTTTTGGGATTTTTTAAAACTTTTTTGGGAATTCCGGGATTTCTAATAAGAAAATTCGAAATTTTTATTTAATTTTGGATTTTGAGTAAAAAAATCTACCTAACTGTAAAATTTCATCAAAAAATATTCATAAATAAAATTTTTATTGCAATTTGAAAAATTTGTATCTTCGCAAAAACTGAATAAAAAACATTTTTTATTTTTTTTTAAAAAAAGTATTCCGCGAATTTTTTAATTTTCAAAAATTTTATACAGTTTTGAAAAATAGACAAAATTACCTTTCCATTGATATATAACATGCCTACCTAATGTTTTTTAAGTGACAAATTAATTAGGGAAAACTCAACATCTTTTAGAAAATTTACCTAGCACTATTATTTTCATCCATATATGTAACAAATTTAAGAGTTAACCTTATGGATGAAAATAATAGTGCTAGGCAAATTTTCTAAAAGATGTTGAGTTTTCCCTAATTAATTTGTCACTTAAAAAACATTAGGTAGGCATGTTATATATCAATGGAAAGGTAATTTTGTCTATTTTTCAAAACTGTATATAATTTTTGAAGATTAAAAAAATCGCGGAATACTTTTTTTAAAAAAAATTAAAAAATGTTTTTTATTCAGTTTTTGCGAAGATACAAATTTTTCAAATTGCAATAAAAATTTTATTTATGAATATTTTTTGATGAAATTTTACAGTTAGGTAGATTTTTTTACTCAAAATCCAAAATTAAATAAAAATTTCGAATTTTCTTATTAGAAATCCCGGAATTCCCAAAAAGTTTTAAAAAATCCCAAAAATGGGATTTTTTGGTTTTTTGCCTATTATATCCATACCAGGGGCGGGGTTATCGAAACCCGTTACAAAATGATTAAGAACTTATTGGGTCATATAAAACAGGTCACTATAATTTGATATCGACTATGCGATTTGAGAATTTTTGCTCAAAATTTAATTTTCCATAAAAAATAGGGTTTTTTTGGATGGACCTGGTCCCCTCGGTATCAAAAATTTTTAGGTTTTGTTTCATTTATCGTATTTTATGTAAAGTCAGCTTTCCAAAAAGTATAAATTCTATATACATCTTCTTAGAAACTTTTTAGATAACTTAAAAAGAAAAAGATACTTTTTTCCCAAAAAAATGTCAAAAAATCGCCTTTTTTTAATTTTTTAAATTTAAATGCCTATAACTTTGGACTCAGTCATGATTTTTACATAATTCTTTCACTGCTTGGTATATAAACTTGTTGTTAAGCAAATAAAAAAAATGGCGAAAATCGGAAATATTTGGACCTGCTATTATCAAAAAAACTAAAGTAAGGACGGTAAAAATTTTAAAATTTTAATATTCAAATGCGAATATCTCCTAAACTATAAGAGATAATTTACTGCTACGACGACATTTTTTATAGTGCTCGATGAGGAGATTCTATATACGAAATTTTTTTTAAATCGGAACTCAAATGAAGAAATAGGATCGTTTTAAAAATTTAACATAGCCGAGGTGTCCTAATTTGAGGACCCCCCGCCGGGCCCCTGGTTGGCCTATAAGGTCCAAATTCAAAACCTAAACTCGACAACACCTCCTCTTTGTGCACACCAAATTTCATTAAAATCGGATTAACCGTTTAGAAGTTACCGAATTATTTCCCTCTTTTTTTTTTCCTATACCACTGTGCAGCAGCAACAACAGCAACACGATATAAGTCAATATAATATGACACAGCAAAAGTTATTTAATTTAAATTAAATTCAATGTTTTTATATTAGTCAGTTTTTTGCAATATAAAATAAATAAAAACAGCACAAAAATGATAAAACTGAATCTTTTTAATTTAAGTTAAATGAAAATATATGACAGCTGAGAAACACACGCGTCTATTCAGTCATAGCGTTACCAGACTAATCGATTAATTACTTGAATGTCCCAAATTAGCTTATAAACACAAATATCGCGATGAAATTCAGCACAATAAAATATTATGGCTTGGTCCATATTTGCCACTAGCCCCCATGTAAAGCCTCTTTCAGAAAATTAGTTTTTCATCCATAAATTGCTTAAATGTATCGGAACAAGGGAATATTGAAGATAAATGCTTTATTATGAAAAATAAATCACATTTAATATTCATAATTGGTGTAGGGTATCATATGGTCGGCCACGCCCGACTATAATTTCTTACTTGTTTATGGATATCATTATTTCGTAATGAGTTTTATGCGTTTAAGTGATTCTCGAAAGGAGACCTTGTATGAGAGCTACGACCAATTACGGACCGATCGTAAACAAATTTTACAGTATATTTTCTGTGTATAAAAGCAATGTTTGTGCTAAATTTTGCATGGATACCTTTATTTGGAAATGAGAAATATGCGTTTAAGTGATTTTGAGAAGGAGACCTTGTATGGGAGCTATGACCAATTGTGGACCGATCGTAAAAAAATGTACAGTAAGATTTCTGTAGATAAAAGCAATATTTGTGCCAAAGTTTATATGAATATCGTTATTTGGGAATGAGTTATGTGCGTTTAAGTGTTTTTCGGAAGGTAAACTTATATGGGAGCTATGACCAATTATGGACCGATTCATAAAATTGTTTCTTTATATGAATTCTATTGGCATAGAATTTAAATATGAAAAATTTCGTAAAGATATCGGCGTTATTTCGGAAGTTATTAACAATGAATTAATTTCGGGGAATATGTACATTTGTGTGGGAGGTATATGTAATTGTGAACCGATTTTTCCAATTTTTAACAATGTTGATCCTGGCACGATCTCTGACAAAATTCATCAATTTATCTGCAGTAGTTTTTGTAAAAAATACAAATAAATATGTTAAAAAGGCACAATTTTTTTTGAGGTTGCCTCAAAATTGTACTCATAACTCTGAACCTATTTTACCGATCTTGCTGATTTTCAAAACCAAACAGCTTAGGATACCAATGAATAGTTTTGGTGAATTTCATAAAGTTCCGTTGCTTCGTTTTAACGTGAGCGTGTTTTATACAGACAGACAGACGGACATATCAAAATTGACTCAGAATTTCATAAGGACCAAGAATATGTATACTTTGTTGGGTCTCAAATGAATATTTCTCGGGAAATGAATATTTCCCTCTATCACCACTGATGGTGGTGGAGGGTATAAAAATTACTTCTTGAGAATGACTTCCGAAGTAGTGAATTCTGAATCAAATAAAAAGGACATCCCTCCTATGACAAGCCTGTGTTAAAATCATCATTTCTTCAGCTCATTTTCAGTACTTCCATGGAGTAAATTCTTCTTCTTTTTCGCTTCTTCGGAAGTTCTGTTTTTGCTGGGTATGTCATTATATTCAACTAAGTTACTGACTTATAAGTGCTCAATTATCAATAATCCATTTTTTATCTGGAAATTGTAGTAACGTGAAAGATTTCACGATCGTAAAATTAAACATCAACAATGATGTTGAAATGTTAACATGATATATGAAATATTAAATATTCTCAATGTACGTATATTTTATAGATATTTGACCTGATGAACAATTTTTTAGAACAATAAAATATCAAATTATGTATGGAGGTCTGCGAAATTAAATAAGTTCCTCAACGGGTCCGCGAGGTTAAAACCGGTGGAAACCGCTGCATTAGAGTGACCACAAAAGAACAATATTAGCTTTGTTTTGAGATAAGCTTGTTTCTATTATTTACCGTTCTTGAGTTATGGCTTCATATGTTAGCTTTTTGGCCAAAAATTTAGATTTTTTCAAACTTCGAACGACGAGCGGCACGTGTTAACTTCGTTTAATCGAGTTCAAATTTCTGCGCAATATCTGGAAAGGGGTATCGTTTTGTGGGGTTCATACGAACAAGATTAAAACATCGACAAAAACAAAATTTTTTTCTCATAACTTTTAACGTTGTAAACAAATTTTCTGATTTGCAATACCAAACCGCTTAGGACAATAATTAATATTTTCGGAGAATTTATTTGATTTTCATTGCTTAGTTTTAACGGGAGCAATGCTCACTGAGCATGTTTTACAGCGAAAGACAGCCGGGAGGACATAGCTATTTGATTTTTTTGTATCATAAAAATTCTTCTCTAAAATTAATATTTCTGAGCAGTATAATATAAATTTTATTATTTTAAAGTTACAGATCACAACACGTCATTGTTTGGTCATAGTCTGGAAGAATGTGTGATCAATGACAAAAAACGTGAAATGTCAAATATGAGCGCTACATCAGATAGAGGATCGAGAAATTCCATTGTGTCTTTGTTCCGGGTTGGAAGTAGCAGAGGTGCAAAAGATTCCATAAATTCTCACAAACTAAATGAAAATGTAAGAAATAAACTACTTATTATTAAGTTAAGAAAAAACCAAGTTAAAGTGCTATATTCGGCTCTGCCGAATCTTAAATACCCTCCCCCTTAAACTGGTTTCATAAATTATCAAGACTGTTACAGAGCGTACTAAATTTAACCTATGTTCTGTATTTAAAATAGTTTCTATGTGTGAGAGAAATGTATGGTAATAATTATAGTTATAAAACTTATATAATTATAATACAATAGATTTTCAACGTTGTTGATCCTATGAAAAAAAAATAATAAAATTGATTTTAAATGTTTATTGTTGAACCGAATTTCGACACTTAATTTGATTTTTTAAAAAAATTAATTATTTATGACAAAAAAAAGATAAATCGACCAGGAATCAAACCTGCAATGCTCAGTTTGTTAATTCTCCCTTACATCCACTGCACCACTTCATTATTTTGTTCTTTGTTAACTTACATTTTTCATATAAAAATGCCATGTTATTTTCTGTTTGTACAAAACATTGCTGCTGAATAACTTTTATCAACACTGATGTTGCTGAATAGCATAAGAAATTAACAGTTACACTTTCTCAATGTGCACATTTTATTTGATCTTGGGCTAACAACAATTTTTTACACAAACAGGAAAGAGAATTTCTATGTGAACATTAGTTGCAAACAATTACGAAGCTAGTTAATAGTGGGGATACCTTTATTTGGTAATGAGAAATATGTGTTTAAGTGATTTTGAGAAGGAGACCTTGTGTGGGAGCTGTGACCAATTGTGGACCGATCATAATATAATGTACAGTAAGATTTCTGTAGATAAAAGCAATATTTGTGCCAAAGTTTGTATGAATATCGTTTTTTGAGGTTGTCTCAAATTTTTACCCAGAACTCTGAACCTATTTCACCGATCTTGCTGGTTTTCAATATCAAACTGCTTAGGATATCAATGAATATTTTGAGTGAACTTCATAAAGTTCCGATGCTTCGTTTTAACTTGAGCGTGTTTTATACATACAGACAGACGGACATATCTAAATCGACTTCATAAGGACCAAGAATATATATACTTTGCTGGGTCTCAAATTAATATTTCTCGGTGTTACAAACGGAATGACAAACTTATATATACCCTCTATCACCACTGATGGTGGTGGAGGGTATAAAAACAAAAATGCTAATAACACTTGTCGATACCATTTTTAAAATGGTTGTCAACTTTAATATTTGCAATAGCACCAAATTCATGAAAAAGATCAGATTTTTCGTAAAAGAGCATTAAGAAAAATATTTCCAAATTTAAATAGGAAATGTTTATACATATACCGGAAAGAAGAAGAATGTGTTTTAAATTAGGTGGATCTAGAACCGATAGAAACAGACATATGTAGTTCATATTATTGAACAGCAATTTTGAAAAGAGTGATGTCGCCAATGTGTGATTCCAGGATATTTATACATAGATCAAAAAATTAATCGATGAAAATGACTTAGAGTATTGTTCGAAACATAAGCAACATCCAAACATCCTTATGAAATGGATTAGTCACTAGTGTAGTTGGTAATGATCCCAAGCCGATTTGAATCCATTCTCCAGCTGCTGTTTTTTTAAAACGGCACAAGTTAGAATTAGGTTTTTATATTAGTACTAGATTTTTAGATTTTTATACCCGGTTTTAAGCGGTTTCATAACATTATACTTTAGTATTCTCCCGTCAGAATAAACTAAAAAATCTGCTAATTTTTCCCTAACTTTTTCATGTTTCAAAAAATGCTGAAGGTCTCCTTATGAAGAAACTGCTTACAATTTCTGTGTGATCTTATAAAGCTATAAAAGAAATTTTATTGAATTTGAACAATATTTATAAAAGCTACCAACACATTACCAAAAATACTACACATACCCTCTTTTTCCATTGAATTATTCAAATGTATGTATTTTGTTTAATATAATTTGTATTTCAGAAATCGATGTTGTTGAACATTTATTAAGAAAAACATATATTTCTCAAACTTCATGAAAGTACAAAAAATTTAGCAAAGGAACGCATAATTAGCCTGTTGGGGTTGGACTTTCGAATACACATATCTCTGAAACTAAAAACTCATCATCTAAAATATTTTTACCTTAGAACAATAAAAAATCAGACTTAAAACGTAGAAGTACAAATTTTTCCAGCTTTTTCGCCTTTTCTCCTATTTCGAAACGGAACTTTGCTACATAATAATAATATTTCAGACACTTTAAAAGCTTAATCAGAAATGTTTTTGCTTCAGTATAGACAATAATTAGTATTTACTCCCAAAAGTACGAATTTTGTCCCTTTTTCATCCACATACCCCTATCACACAATACACCTATACATATATCTAACTATGTTTACAATTTAACGATATTCGTTCCAGCCGTTAAAGTGTCGCAATTTGCAAGATAATTTAATGAAATTTTGCACATACTGTGGCAAAAAAATCAGATTAAAATCGACCATTATTTCGCATAGCCCTCATACAATCCCTGAATATGGCTTTTGATCTCATAAATATGTTAAATGTTCTTGTATCACACCAAAAATAGACAAAACTTAGTTTTATATAAGTTTTAATGACACTGCTGATTTTCGGCCCTCATTTGATCACATCTCTCATATAAAGTCTACTTAAACACTAATATTACTGCGATATTCTACATATTAACCAACTGCCCCCATAGAACCCTCTTTTAGAAAATCCCTTTTTATACCCTCCACCACCATCAGTGGTGATAGAGGATATATATAACTTTGTCATTCCGTGTGTAACACCAAGAAATATTCATCTGAGACCCAACAAAGTATATATATTCTGGGTCCTTATCAAATTCTGAGTCGATTTAGCTATGTCCGTCTGTCCGTCCGTCTGTCCGTCCGTCCGTCTGTCTGTGTAAAACACGCTCACGTTAAAACGAAGCAATATAATTTAACCAAATTCACCCAAAATATTCACTATTATCCGGTACAGTTTGGTGTTGAAAATGAGCAAAATCGGTTCACATCGGGAAAAGTTATGAATCAAAATTTAAAACAACTCCGAAAAAAATAAGCATTTTTTACACATTCTGATGTAATTTTCTCGAAAACTATGCAAGGCAATTCCATGAAAATCACCATACATTCGTCTCTGCACAAGAGCTTGATCCCTGCTGAAAATTGCCAGAATCGGACCACAATTTCATATACCTCCCATACAAAAGTACATATTCCCGGAAAATGGTTTTTTGTTAATAACTTACGTCAGAATGTTGATATCTTCACAAAATTTTACAAATTGAAATCTTATGTCAATTGAATTCATTCAAAGAAAAAATTTTCTGGCTCGGTCCATAATTGGACATAGCTCCCATACAAGGTTCCCTCCCGAAAATCACTTAAACGCGCATAGCTCATTACTAAATTAAGATATCCATATAAAATTTGGTATAAGTAATACTCATATACACAAAAATGTTACTGTGAAATTTTTTCCCGATCGATCCATAATTGGTCATAGCTCCCATACAAGGTCCCCTCCCGAAAATCACTTAAACGCGCATAGCTCACTACTAAATTAAGATATCCATATAAAATTTGGTATAAGTATTACTCATATGCACAGAAATGTTACTGTGAAATTTTTTCCCGATCGGTCCATAATTGGTCGTAGCTCCGATACAAGGTCCCCTCCCGAAAAACACTTAAACGTGCATAACTCATTACTAAATTAAGATATCCATATAAAATTTGGTATAAGTATTGCCCATATGCATAGAAATATTACTCTGAAAGTTTTTTCCGATCGGTCCATATTTGGTCATAGCTCCCATAAAAGGTCCCCGCCCGAAAATCACTTAAACGCGCATAACTCATTACTAAATTAAGATATCTATATAAAATTTGGTATAAGTATTGCCCATATGCATAGAAATATTACTGTGATTTTTTCCCGATCGGTCCATATTTGGTCATAGCTCTAGGTCCCCTCCAGAAAATCACTTAGATGAACAATATTAATTACCAAATAATAATATAGATACAGAATTTTGAAATTTTGTCTTTATATACATAATTGGTAATAGCCCCCATACCCGAAAATCACTTAAACGCGCATAACTCATTACTTAATTAAGATATCCATATAAAATTTGGTATAAGTATTTCCCATATACATAGAAATATTACTGTGAAAGTTTTTTCCGATCGGTCCATAATTGGTCATAGCTCCCATACAAGGTCCCCTCCCGAAAATCACTTAAACGCGCATAACTCATTACTAAATTAAGATATCCATATAAAATTTGGTATTAGTATTGCCCATATGTATAGAAATATTACTCTGAAAGTTTTTTCCGATCGGTCCATAATTGGTCATAGCTCCCATAAAAGGTCCCCGCCCGAAAATCACTTAAACGCGCATAACTCATTACTAAATTAAGATATCTATATAAAATTTGGTACAAGTATTGCCCATATGCATAGAAATATTACTGTGATTTTTTCCCGATCGGTCCATATTTGGTCATAGCTCTAGGTCCCCTCCAGAAAATCACTTAGATGAACAATATTCATTACCAAATAATAATATAGATACAGAATTTTGAAATTTTGTCTTTATATACATAATTGGTAATAGCCCCCATACAAGGTCCTTTTACGAAAATCTCTTAAACGCAAATTACTCATTACCAAATAAAGCTATACTAAATTACGATATAGATACAAAATTTGACTGAAATATAGCTTTTATGTACAGAAATTTTGCTTAAAGAATTTTTTACGATCGGTCTATAATTGATCTTATCTCCCATACTAGGAACTGCCCCTAAAAGCGCTTTAACCTTATTTAACTATTTGCATTATCAATTTGTGTAGAACAAAATTATATATATGTATGTATTTTCAAAATCCTTAAATCTTTCACACACATGCATACATGCAAATTATTAAATATTGCTAAGCACTATAAAAATATAAAATAAAATGGCGTTTATAATGTTCAATAAATCTTGGAATTGTAATAGATCTAAGTCTTAAATAGAAAAATTATGGGATTTTTCTATTTAAGACATGAGAAGACTTATTTGTACAAATATTTGATCAATTAGAAAAGTATTAATATAAAAGTAGCTGGTGGAGGGTATTTAAGATTCGGCTCAGGCGAATATAGCACTCTAACTTGTTTGTCAATAAATTGTTAAAATATTTCTGAATAAAGGTAAAAATTAATTTAAATGCTTTCTTATTAAAAAATAATCAACATTTGTAACATAATCATTGGTGTAGGGCATCATATGGTCGGCCATGCCCAACTATACATTTTTTTTGTATATTTATTTGTTTTATTTATTCA